ATATTGACGAGGGGTTGTCTGTGTGTTCGTGTGTCTGTGTGTGCGTCTGTCACGCAGTTTCATCTCGAGACCTACAAAAGCTGCAGGGCTGAAATTTCGAGAACTTAATTACATGCACGTACTGGGTCCCAATCCCCAGAATGAGCGCCATTACCCGCGTAGTACCCGCGTACGGGCCACCAAAATTTTTTCCGGGTAAGTTCATAACTCGGGGATCTGAGAAGCTAGAAAGCAAACTTTTTTGGGGATGTTCTCCGTCCAAGTAGGTGTTAATGCACTGAAACTCACATTCCGGGTAAGCGTGGTTCCCGCGTACGGGCTCACCAAAATTTTTCTTGGGTAAGTTCGTAACTCACGAACCAGAAAAGCTAGAAAGCTGAAATCTTAAGTGGATATTCCCCGTCCAAGCAGGTGAGCTCAAACCCACCCCCCGGATAAGTGTGGTACTCGCGTAAGTGCCCATAAAAATTTTTTTTAGGTAAGTTGATAACTCAAGAACCTGAAAAGCTAGAAGACTGCAATATTAAGATGATGTTCCCCGTCCATACTAGTCTCAAACAACTCAAACCCAGCCCTGAGGTATGCATGGTACCTACGGACGGGCTCACCAAAGCTTTTCTCGAATAAGTTCATAGCTCGAGAATCTGAAAAGCTAAAAGACTGTAGTTTTAAGAGGATGTTCCCCGTTCAAATAAGTCTTAGTGAGCTCAGACCCAAATATCGGGTATGCGTGGTACCCACGTGTGGGCCCGTAAAAGTTTTTTTCCAGTAAATTGATAATTCAGGGGCCAGGAAAACTAGAAAGCTTAAATTTTAAGGGGGTGTTTCCTGCCAGCTCTGGCGCCAGTCTTAATTTGTTTAGCTAGAAGCATTTGCCGAAAAAACCGATGCAGGTAGCGACAAAAACTGCGGGAAACTATGCAAAAAACGCATCTTCGCACGGGCAACCTGTGCGTTGGCCAATTATCTTTTTTTTTAACAGTCTCACAGCGATGTGCGGTCTCTCATACGAAATGAAAAAATGAAAAATTTTTCAGCCTAATTAAAAGCCTAACGTTTTGCAAGGAAAAAGTGTGAAAAAGCCAATAAAGCAGAAGCGAGGAACAAATTTTTATAAAGCAAAACCACTACTCTGAAAAACAACCAGCGAAAAAAGAAGCATCACCCACTTTATCAGCTGCCCCAGTACCAACTGACCCAGAGCTCAGCGTATGAACCGCACCAGAATTTTTCAAATCAATTAAATTTTGAAGTTCGAGCCCCGCGCCCGGCCCCATATGGACAATATGCACGAAATCGGACGGTCCACTGATTGGCAGCTGACTACGGCGATCACCCATCCTGCAATAAGAGCAAGATACTTTGAAACAGTGAAATCCCGAAAGCTCAATGCAAACATTTTTTAAAAAAATTGCTCTCAAATACAGAATGCACTCTTCAAAAGCATCAGAAGTACTCTAGATAAAGCAAATCGCATTATTTTACCTTACATGACGCTCGTCATCACGAGGCGTTCGTAATGAGAACTTTCGTCTTCGTTTCGCAGCAATACCTTTCAGTGACAGAACCGATGAATTTGAAACACTGGACGCTGTCCAAACTGGAATGCTTACCGCATCTTCGTCTGCAAAGAAACAAGCTAATAACTGGAACTGTTCACTGGCGTAGTGCAAAAGTCAAAGAGGTTTTTCCTTCTCATTAAGAAAGTAGGGCCAAGCTGCCACATTTCCTCCTCAAACTGTAGAATAAAAGTCTTCAGCGACCCCTGTCCATTTAGTAAAAAAGATTTTTTTCGCAAAAAAAAAGACCCAGAGACCAGGCTTTTTTTTGTCCGACAGCTAAAAACGTTGGGACAAAAGATAAATCTTCAAAAACAATTTCGAAATGTGGAAGAGCGCAAACAAATGAGTTCTTCCTGCCCTTTTTTTTAGGAGAATACTTGCCCATTCCCTTTAACCACAGCGAATCATTTTTCCTGTCAAGTGATGATGGCGGCAGCCATACAGAACTGCAATTCCAGGCTCCCAAAATCGAAAATAAACAGCCATCGAGAGTAACAGTTGTACCTGAAAGCACGTCGGAAAGAAGCACAACATACGGCATATCGTTGATCATGCACATCGTCAAAAGCCCATCGTTCGTTAAAGGAAATGCCTGAAAATTTTTGAATATTAATAACGCACAATCTATAGACAGAAAAAACACATTTTTACTCCAGCACGTTTTTAAAAAAAACAGGGGTATCGATAGTTGGCCTGCTTTCCAGTTCCGTGAAAGCAGTTCTTTGAAGCAGAATGCAAGAATAGTGATACCTTTTTCAAATTAATAGTTTGCACCCAGTCGGCACTATTTACATTGAAAATGTCTATTTCATTTTCCGAGTAGACACACAGATGCGGCATGATGCAAACAAAGCCACCGGACGATGCTTCGGCCGGAAACATTAGTTCCTGTGAACGGCATCGACGGCCTAAACCAGCAACTGTCAAAACAGCCACAGAAATAACTTTGCAGGTGCATTACTGGAGGCTCCATAAGTAGTAATATTCAATTATAACTGTGCAAAATTAATGACATTTCAGACCTTGCGCATCGACATAGACACCGAGACGAGAAAATATTAGAAGAAATTCCTTCTGTTCGTACCCGCTAACATTTATGATTAAGTGAGCATCATAGAGCGTCTGGTTAAGAAACTGAAGCGATGAATCTTCGAAATTCACCAAAGCTGAAATTTATCAATAGGATTACGGATAGAAACTAATTTCAGTACTCTAAGACAATGCACAGATAAGACTTCGTACAAATAAATACAGTTATGACGAAGTACATGAGTTAAGATGCGCAGGGAGATAATGAGCCAATAATTCTTATTTTTGTTCGCATCATCTTATCACTTTCACAGACCTTGTTTCCTCATAAATGTCCAAGCATTCTATTTACTTATCAATACAGTCCACTAGAACGATGCCTCATTTGTACAGAAATGAAAAAATAGGAAAACTACGCTAATCTCAGGATTGTTGTCAAAAAAGGTCGACAAGCCAACAGCATAAATGACTTCTGGGAATTTTGAGGCTTATCTGAGGAAAGTTTATACCAGTGGTAGTATTATCGACGAGATCCCACATGCGAAAACCGGACGGATAGCCAACACATAACTTTCCGCGCATCACCGTCATTGTCTGCGGCTGTCCGGGCATTGCCAACTCCCGCACTTTTCGATGCCTCTTCTCACTGCGATCTATTTGAAATACAAGCACCTGAAACGGGTAACTGAACTAAATGAATTCTCTATTAATTAACCGATAAGGCCATAGTGTGGCACTGGCGTTTGTTTTTTACAGTGGACATTTCAGGTTTAAACTGAATTAGACAGCTGTACACCTGCCTAATGTATCATTTGCTTTTTTTGAGAAATTCCGTTTTGCTAAATGCGGTAAACCACATTTCAACGGCTAGGTAACAAAAAAGAAACCTTCGTTCAAGCACATAAACAACTAATCAGACTACGTCATAGTTAAATAAACAAACAAAATCACTGCAGAACAAACCGTTTTTTTGGCCGCAACGCAGAAGTAGTGGCAGGGATCGGATGAGCAGCCAGCACCCACAGCAAGCAGATGGCATCCTTTCGTTTCCGCCACTTTAATCCATTTCAAATCCCGACCATCCAGAGCTGCCATTGGTATAAGCCGCACATGGCGGTCCTTCTGTGGCCCAACCAATACCAGCAAAAGCTTGAAAATTCGTGACAATCCGTTAGCAAAAAAAAAAAATCACTGGCGGCACGCACTGGGTGGGCCTGTGCAATCATGCGTTTTTGCAGTGTCTCGTGCTGTAATAAGATCACTCGAAATTCCGCTAGTTAGAAACCTTTGACATACTGGTCCTCGAATTCCGAGAAGTTAATTGTTCACGCTATACTTGGACAGCGAACATTCCCTCGAAATCCCAGGTTCCCAGCTTTCTCACCTCTCGAGTTACCTAAATTCCAGCCAGAAAATTTCACGGGGCTGTCCGTGGCAACCACGCATATCGCGAGGCTGAATTTGATAAATTTAAGTTGCCGATGAACTAGGAACATTCGCTGAGAGTTTCAGCCTCTCAGGTTTCTTGGCTTCCGAGCTAGCGATTTTTCCGCCAAAAATTTTCACGGGGCCGTACGTGGCAACCATTCATATTGGGGCGCTGAATTTGAT